CTTCTTACCCTGAAATCCCTTTCCAAGGCCCACAACTCCTAGAGACATATGGTGGGGGATATTTTCACATTTCTATAAAAAAAGAAAAAACATTTTACAGGCCTATGCCTCTTTTCAGATATCCTACTTTCATACCACAAAATTCCCTTCTCCAAAGACAATCACTGGAAGACAAAGCATAATGATGAAAATTTGACTGAAGGACAAATGAGGGATAAATAGAAGTGATTTTGTCATTGGAGTATGCAACAGATCGTTTATGTAGAGAGAAGAAATAAATGAGAAGTTTGGAAAAGCCTGCACAATGGTATATCTATAATGTGGTAAACATGGAGACTTTACCCAGATATCTGCTGGAGCTCTTTCCACTAAAAGCAGAGCAGCTAACAGTTTCTTGACTTGCTGTAGTGGCAACTCCCTCTTTCAAAATATGGAGAAACCAACAAGGGAAAATTCTAATCTGCATCTGATTCTCACTAAGAAGGAGGAATTGGTTGCTAGGGTGAAAATGATTGAAATCTTAGGGGGGAAATGACCACTCTATCCTAGAGCTGATGAAAGACAAGGAAAGGAATCTAGACGTGGTCTGACATGTACCCCAGATTTTGAGAAGGCAAATGTCAAAAAGTCTGGAGGAAAGATGGGTATGATGCCATAGATTACATCTGGGAAAGTCAGCCCAAGAATGAAATTCTGAAGGCACAAAAGGAAGCAATCTCAATGAAGAGGAAAAATGGTCTTTGTTCAAGGAGACCAGTGTGATTAATAGGGAACTTACTAGCTTACTTAGATTTGGAAGAGAAATGTACAAAATACGGAAAAAAGGCCAAGTAACAACAGATGAATATAAGAGCATGGCACAGCTTTGTAAAAAGATTATCATGAATACTTTAAAAAAAAAAAAAGCTTATAATGACCTTAGGCTGATGAAGGAATCTAAGAACAACATTTGACACTTATTTTGTTTTTGTTTTCTTTGCTAAAGAGAATTACCTTTACGTTGGAAATAACAGAACAAAAATGGCAAACATGGAGTTGATACCCAAGAGTTAATGAAAAACTAAATTAGTGAGTAAGGAGTTGGAAAGTAAGTAAAGAGTAAGTGAGAAAGAAACTACATCTTCTGATTGTGAAAGAATTGCCAGAAATGATTATTGAGCCATGGTCACAGATATTTTAAAAATCATAGAAAATAAGATGAGTCCCACATGATTGGAGAAGGACCAATATCCTGATTTTCCCAAAAGGATGAGAATAGTCTGTCAATTCTATTAGACTAGTGACCTTGGCTTTGATTCTTGGGGAAATGACTAATAGCTAACATTCATAGAGAACTTTTTTTTTTGCATAGTGCTTTACAAATATTATTGCTTTTTAGCCTTGTAACGGCCCTGGGTGGTAGGTGCTATTATTATTCCCATTTTACAAATGAGGAAACTGAGGCTGAGAGGTTGTTACTTACCCAGAGTCACACAGATAGTAAGTATCTGAAGCTACATTTGAATTCAAGTCTTCCTAACTCAGGATCCAGTGATTCATCCACTGTCTTATCTAGCTGCCTTATTCTAGAGAGGATTATTAAAGAGATGATTGGTAAACAACTAGAAATAAGTGTAGTGTTTACAAAGAACCAAACATGATTTCATGTAGACTAGGTCATGCCAGTCTAACCTCATTTACATTTTCAACGGGCTTACTAAACTGGTAGATACAGGGAATTGCAGTGGATATGGTTTACTTATATTTCTAGCAACACTTTTTCTCATTAAATTTTATTTTCAGTTTATGGAATAAAACAAACATTTCCATAGTATAACACAGTAAAATGAAAAAGATGATTGCATGTGAAACTGCAAATCTACCATGTACAACTTGTTATTCCTTTCAAATATATAACAAAATTGTCATGTAAATTTCTTTTTTTTCTTTCCTCCCTCCAGATGGCTACCATTAAACACAAATATGTGTGTGTAAGTGTAAAATTATTCTATACATACTTCTACTTATCAGTTCTTTGGATGCAGATAGTGTCTTAATCTGTCCTTTATAGCTAATTTGGGTATTTGTAATAGTCAAAATAACATACTCTTTCAAGTCATTCTTAAAATACTATTGCTGTTACTGTATATAATGTTCTCTTGGTTCTGTTCATTTTGCTCTTCATTATTTTGTGCTAGTCTTTCCGTGTTTTTCTAAAATCATTGAGCTCATCATTTCTTATATCAGAGAAGTGTTCCATCACAATCATATATCACTACTTGTTCAGCCATTCTTCATTTGATGGGCATCCTTGCAATTTCCAGTTCTTTGCCACCACAAAGAGAGGTGCTATAAACATTTTAGAACATATAGGTTTTTTCCTTTTTCCTTAATTATCTTCAGAAGTAAACCAAGTGGTGGTGTTGGGCCAAAGGGTACAGATAGTTTAATAACTCTTTAGGCTTCTTCAGATTGCTCTCCAAAACAGTTGGATCAGTTCACAATCAGATAACATGGAGAGTTATATATTATTTAATAATACAACCATATGGATTCAGAACCCATTGCAGAGTAGTTGTTAAAGATTCAATATTAGTATGGCGGTAGTTCTCCAGTAAAATGATCTCCAAGTATTTGTGCTTGGTCCTCTATCAATGTTTTGGTATAAGCATACAGATGGTATGCTTATCAAATTTGCAGAAGACACAATATTAGGAGTAATAGCTAGCAATCTGCAGGCTCAGTCTGAATCAGAAGCCATTGTGGGGCATCCCCCTCTCTCTACCTTGACCTCACAAAAAAAAAAAAAGCTGATGCAACCTTGAGCAATATTAAGAAGGCCATACATGGGGCACCTAGGTGGCTTAGTGGATAGAGCCCAGCCTTGGAGTCAGGAGGTCCTGGGTTCAAATCCAGCCTCAGACATTTAACACTTGACACTAGCTGTGTGATCCTGGCAAGTCATTTAACCCCGATTGCCACAAAAAAAAAAGTAAAAAGGGCATACCTACAGCAATAGGGGAGCTAGTGGTTCGACTAATCTCATTTGTAGTATTGTGTTAAATCCTGGAAAATGCTCAGAGGAAAGCAGCCAGGATGGTGAAGGGACATGAGTCTGTGACATGTGAGGACCAACTGAAAGATTAATTTTTACATGAAGAAAGGATTAGACTTGATATCTTTGGTCCCACAGGGTAAAACTAGGAGTGAAAATCCCAAATAGAAAATTAAAACTTTATGGAAGGTAAAACTTCCTAATAATTAGAGTTATTCAGAGGCATTGAACATTCTCAAGCAGTGGAAGTTTCTCTTCTCTTTAGAGGTCTTCAAGCAAAGGCATTAGAATCATTTTTGGGAGGGGTATGTTATAGTGAGGATTCCTTTCATGTATGGGTTGACTAGATGGCCACTAAGGTCCCATGACAGTTTTTTCTTTCCATCTCTATTTTTCATGCTCCACCCTATCCCAAGAATAGTTTCTGTCTCACTTTAAGAGCTCTGTTTCACTCTAGACTGGACACAAATACAATCATCATTGTTACCCAGCGACACTTTCCAAAGTAACTACAATTCCCCCGCATATGGAATAATACTACATTTGTAAAGCATTTCCATTCCCCCCACCTGGTTTTCCATGAACACCCAATTCTACTAATACTCATATATTTAGGCTACACTATACTCTGGTATACTCTCTTTGGGGGGAAGATAGGGAAGTATATAAATGCCACCTCCTACACAATACCTTTACAGATTCCCCCACCATTTGTTAGTGCCCTCTCTGAAATTACTTCGCATTTACTTTTTATATATTTATATTGATTCATTTCTGTACATCTATGATGTCTCTCCCCATCAGCATATAAGCTCTTTGAGGGCCAGCACATTATATAATAATATATATTGTGTTCCTCAGTGCCTAGGATAGTAATCTTAATTAATACTTGATGAATGAAAGATATGTACTCAGGGGATCCCCCAGCTCCCAAGGCAACTGATTTCACCCTGGGACAGCACTAAATATTAAGCTTTTGCTTATATCAAGTTTAGAATTGACTTTCTGGACCTTCCTTTGACCCATTGCTTGCAGTTTGCCCTCTGGGTTTAAGCAAATCAAGTCTAATCCATCTCCTACATAAGAACTTTCAAAAACTTGAAGATTGTTATCATATGCCTCTTTAAAAAAAAATTTCTAGGTAATTGGGAGTGACTTGCCCAGAGTCACACAGCTGGTAAGTGACAAGTGTTTGGTCTGAGGCTGGATTTGAACTCAAGTCCTCCTGACTTCAGGGCCAGTGCTCTATTCTGTGAGCCACCTAGCTGCCCCTGTCTCATGCCTCTTAAATCTTCTTTTCATCAGGTTAAATAGCCCCAGTTCCTTCAAGATATATGCTTGTGCTTACATGTGTATATGTATGTATATCATTTTCTCAAGTCTGTACAGGGTCATAAGATTTAGTTCTGGGAAAAGGACCATAAAACTTAGCTAGTCTAATTCCCTCATCTTTCAGGTGAGGACGCTGATGCTCAGAAAAGTTAAACACAATTATTAAATAGCAGAGCCAGGATTCAAATCCATGTCTTCTGTCCCCAAAATCAAAGCTCTGGTCACTACATCACGTTGCACTCCCATTTAATGGGGAAGTGGGTGCTGACGAAGTAATAAAGTTGATATAAGCAGTATGTAGAGAACCTGAATTACTTCCGTTCAGTAACTGTCTCTGAGCTGAGCTCAGTTGGTATTGAGCTCTGACACAGTCACAGAGCCCAAGCATTTTTCTGTATAGAAAGCAATGAAGAAGGGGGAAGGGGGATGTCGAAGGGGAACGGTTATTCTCTTTTTGCTTCTTACTTCCCGTCACGCGGTCTACTCACCCTGCTCATTGCCAAGTTCCTCTATAGTTAGTCGCCAAGGTAGAATTTTACTCGTAGAATAGAAAGAGGATGAAGGGTGAGATTTCACAAGCTATCACTGTAGCTGGCTTCTATATAAACCCAGGAAAGAAAAGTTAGTGACCTAGGGAACAAAGCCCTACATTTCTGGCAAATTTCCCCATCTCCACCCTTTCAATCCTGGCTCACCCGCCTCCCTCCTCCCTGCTTCGCTCCGCCTAACCCCGATCCGTCCCGCCCCCCACCTCCCCCTTTTAGGACCGGAGGCAAAGGATCAAAAGAAAAAAAATAATAATGGTGAAAGAGTTGCTATGTTCCGCAAATCAGAAGGGACTGTTAAGAAGGAAGGAGGGGTTGAAAAGTTAACGGGGGTGGAGGAGGAGGGGGAATTGGAGGGAGAGAGAAATCTGGCTTTATTTAATTCGGAGGGAGTTGTGAGGGTGCAGTGTACTGCAAAGAAACCAGGATGCACAGAAGGCACAATTCAGAGAAAAGCATGAAACCGTCCGTAGAAAGACTAACAGAAGCTGCTGCTATGGGTCGGACTGAGGTAGTAAGGGAGCTCCTTGAATCAGGCACTGATCCCAATATCGTGAACCGCTTTGGCCGGAGCGCCATTCAGGTAGAGGGAAAAGGAAATGTTCGAGAATGAGGGTGGTGGAAGGGAGAGAGAAAGAGAGGGGGGAAGGAGTTTTACAGAGCTCCCTATAAAAGGGAATTCATCGTAGGGTTTGAAAAATGAAGTATTGATTCGAATTATTCGCAGGGGAAAAAAGTTTAAAGAAATGGTAATTTTTTTAAAAATGCATTCGTTATTGAGTGGTGTATGTCTCTAAATAATGAACTACATAGTTAAGGATTGCAGATGATGATGTATGGAATAATTCGTATATATATAAATGAAACATCTTTTCCCGATTCCAAACCTAAAAGATTTAAAAATATAGTTCACAGGGGAGAAAATTAACAATGATAAATATGAAAGTTATCTTATAAAACCTAATTTATTGTGGATCTGAGGTGTGGGGTGGGGCAGCATGAAGATATTTTAGTTGCAAGATGGATGACAATGGTAAATGATCAGATATTGGGGGAGGGGCAGAGAAAATGCTTTCCTTTTCAAAATGTGACCTCGAAAGTAATAATTGTGTGTGTGTGTGTGTCCCTGCATGTATAATTGAAGCTATCTCCAAGTCTACAAAAGCACTAAATTGCTTCCACTTACATTTCCTGAAATCTAGGGATAAACTGTTACCCTTTCAGGATTCCAGGATTATGTTAGTTCAGAGTTTACTAATTTCGTGTGAAATTATTTTGGCTTCTGCCCAAGAAAACAAAGAATAAAAACAAACAAACAAAAAAACCAAAGACTCCCCCTCACAAATGAAACCTCTTTTCCCTGACTCCAAAACACTACAGGATAGAAAAATGCAGTTCATCGGGGAGAAAATTAACAATGCCTAGCTTATTGTGGGTCTCAGGAGTGGGGTGGGGGGTGAAGATATTTTGGTTTCGCGGTGGATGGATAATCAGATATTGGGGAAGACGGATATAAAATGCTATAGTTATATTCGTTCCTTCTCAAAATGTGACCTCGAAAGTAATAAACGGTTCACCTTTAAGATAGAAGCTGTGTCTATTGTCTGCAAAAGTATTTTATGGTTGTCATTTCCCACTTATGAATTATTTGTCCCAGTAAATGGTTGAATTTTTAAAATGTGTCTATGTATTTTAATATTTTAAGTATGTCACTGAAACAAAACGGCGTGTTTCTTTTAGAAAAAAGTTTTTTGAAGACTTTGAAAAATTGCTTTTGAAAAAAAGGAAAGTGAAGAACAGAAAGTGACTAGGATTGTGTTTTGAAATAATTGATTAAAATGCAGTCTTCAAAAAGGCTATATTTAAATGACCTTTTTGAAAAGTGGAGAGAACTCGAAGGCATCCAGAACTTGGATACAACCCTGTGGTCAGCTTTTTGGATTCAGACGAGGTAGGGCAGGTTAGAATTGGCTGCTTTCTACGTTGTTGGAAACAAGTTAATGAAAGCAAGTATCTTTTGAGTTGTTTTTAAACACTTCGAGGTTTTTAAAAAACACTTCCAACAAATATTGTATTGTTTCTCTCTCATTTGTGAGGTGACTGAATCACGACATCAAATATTTTACATAGAGTTAAATGAGAGGTAATACAATGATCGTAATCGCAACGTAGCATTTTTTCCCTTGAATATCTAATTAGGTTCCCCTAGATTACCATCTAGAATTATTGAAGAAAATTTAACTTAATGTGTTCAATAATTTTACTATTTCCAATGAATGTCTAAATGAGTATTTTCAACAGCTTTACTACTATTTGCAATGAATATTCAACTCCTTTAGTATAATTTGTAAACCATTTGGGATTTAATTGGTATTTAAATATGCAAATTAAAGTATTAAGGGGGTTGGATTTAATGATCCGGTCCCCAAATCTCTTAATTTTTGTTGTGGTTATTAGTTTTGTAAGCTGTGTATGAGTGTTGAAGTTAAAATGCCACCTAACTGATTTGTAAATGAAACTCATCAAACTAAAATCCATGAGTACTGTCCTTAAACTTATTACTTTGGGAGGTTATATATTTATTCCATTGATGTGGCCATAATTCAAAGCACTTCTCTGGAAATTATTTTTAAAGACAGTTTACAAGTCTTACTGCATCATAATCATTTCTGCTGTCTATGAAATAGATGTATGCCTGAGATAATCCAAACTAGCTAAATAATAAAAGCTAAATTAAGCTAGGTTTCTTTTTAAGTTTCAGGATTTCCTTTTTTAAAATTAGATACCAAGACACACATGAGCTGTGCAGAGCTCACAACTTGAACAGCCATCTGCTGCATGAATATAGCAAAATCCCAAAATTCATCTTGCAGCCTGTTATTTATGAAAAATTTATTCAAATTTTAGCATTTTCAGACTTTAAAAAAATATTAGTTTTAATATCTACCCTCCATTATAATAGCCACCCTCTATTATAAAAGCCACCCTATTTTCCAAATGAGTGCCACTTGTACAAATGTAGTTATTTTCAAATGTATAAATTCACGACTGGGACATTATATTTTTATTTAAAAGTTCCACAGAAGAATTTGACAGTCCAGACTTTCATATGCAAGTCATGACAAGTTATTTTTTTCTTTGAAAAAATAATTAAAGCCAATTTTAAATGGGATTACCCACATATCAGTACAATACAGTAAAATTCAGCATAATACAATAATGTATGTATTTGACAACCAAAAAATAAATTCCTTCAAATAGTCTTGCATCTACTCTGGCTTCATACTTCTTTTTCATGGCCTGAAATCATTTGAGTGGCTGGATTGCTGAACATCCTTGGGATAAGGAGTTTCACATTAGGACTTAGAAGTCCTCTAGGATTGGGATTCCATTTATTAACAAGAAAATTGGAGCCCTAGAAAGTAATTTGAATTATCTTAGACTATAGGAGTAGTAAGTAGTTGAGCCTGGATTCAAATGCAGATTCTCTGACTACAAATCTGTGGTTCTTTTCACTAAATTTTAAACTGAATTTAATTCAATTTACATGAATCTAGATTCCTCAAGGACTCAGTAGTCTGATCTGTTTTCAAGAGCCCTACACCTTCCAGTTCCTGTAAGTGTGATGAGATCTTGGGGGCAATTCTTTGCCACTTTAGTGGTTCTGTGATCTCACCGAAGTGTATTCTCTTCAGTAAGGCTAATTGGAACTAATTCATGCCGTCTTACCTAATATTGCCTGGACAACTCAGAGAGTATTGTTACATCAAAATTAAAATTAACTAGTATCTTTGTTCTGAGTTGTAAACAACGCCTCAGGCAAATACGTTTCCCGCTCTATTAGTTAGTCTGATGTACAACAAAAAATGCATGCATATATCTATGCTTAAATTCACTCCCTCTTTGCCGTTTTTCGTATTGTAGTACTGACTTTTCCCAACTTTCTCCCGTAAGAGTTGTGCGGTGTCTCACCCATCCTTAAATTAAATTCAACTTAATTTTTTTTCCCCAAAGCACCTTTTTGTATATAAGATACTGTATTAGGTGCTGGGATACAGAGATAAATAGAACATAAACCTCACTTCTTGAGCCTTATCGTGGGAATTTTCCCAAGCTGCTTTGTTAATGTGTCCAACCCTGCCATTTGTCCTCTAGGTCATGATGATGGGCAGTGTGCGCGTGGCAGAGCTCCTGCTGCAGCACGGAGCAGAGCCCAACACTCCAGACCCAACAACCCTCACTCTACCAGTCCACGACGCTGCCCGGGAGGGCTTCCTGGACACTCTGATGCTGCTTCACCGGGCAGGGGCACGGCTGGACCTCAAGGACGCCCTGGGTCGCCTCCCCTTGGACCTAGCTGAGGAACAGGGACACCACCTCGTGATCACATACCTGCGCGAGGTGGTGAAGGGAGGAACGAAATCCACCCCCCAGGATGTAGAATAGGATCCTCCAGGTGAGTCCAAAATTTTTTAAAAAAGTGTTTACAGAACCTCTTTGGTTAGGACTGCCATTGCTTTTTCCCTTCCCTAGGACCATCATTTACTAAATATATATTAAGTATAATACATATTAAGTATATTAATATATTAAGTATAATAATAACTACCATTTATGTCGCTCTTTAAGGTTTGCAAAGCGCTTTATAGATTTCTCATTTGTTTCTCACAAAAACCCAGGGAAGTAGGTGCAATTATCTCCGTTTTACAGATAAGAAAACAACCTGAGGGAAGTTAATTTTACTTTATTATGATTTGCCCATAGTCACATAGTTTGTAAGAGTCTCAAGCCATATTCAAACAACAGTTTCCCGGACTTCAGGTCCAACACTCTATCCACTATAAAATGTAGCTACCGTGGAATGCTCGCAGGTTGCTTCTGTGGCTACTGAGGTCAGGTGTATTCAGAATTGAGTGCAGCCAGAGCATAAATATGTTAAGAATCTATTCCATGTGACAGATGATTTTTTTTAGAGGTTGTGGGGAGTAGTGAATAGAGAACCCTGTTTCGAAAAGACCTAGGTTCAAACGCAACGTTTAAGAAAGACTCAGTGACCGTGCTCTAGTAACTTCTAGTTACTAGTCTAGTAACTTCTCCATGCCCTCCAGGCAGCGCTCTAAGACTATAAATTGCAGCGCTTTTACTTTGGTAGACTAAAGTCCTCACCGAAAATTTCCTTTCACTGTCTGTCCCACGACCTCTTCACTGTAGAAATACTAACTAGGCTTTCCCAGAACCGGTTTTCCCTGCCTTGCCTCTTCCTTCCATAGCTGTGCACAGTGGGCGGATAGATTCTATGCTCTTCTCAAAGTCGTGGAAAGAGGTCTGTAGTAGAGCCGACACCGTTTGTAAAGCCGAGAAGAAGGGAAGTAGGTGCAGCTTTTCTAAATCAGCTTCCTTGGTTTTGTCCGCTTTCCCCCAATGACCAGTGGAAAACTTCATAGTGGGGGTGGGAGGATCCATAAAGACGGATAGCCCACAGAGGAACCGCTATCTAACTGAAGGACGAAGAGCTGCGGTTAGGGACGCCGTGCTCTGTTAGAAACCAGGGTTCTCTTATTGTAATGGAGGGATTAGAGTGGGGAATGGCGGAGAGAGGCAAGCTTCAGAGCAGTGGCGTGCCCTGTGGCACTTGTTTATGAGTTACTCTGGTCGGTCAACCACCTACTCTGAGCTAAGCATGATGCTCAGGGCTGAGATTGCCCCACCACCCCATACCAAATGCAAAAAGCTCTGCCCTTGGGGAGCTCACAATCTAATGAGGGAGACAACATTCAAACAACTTTGAACAAATAAGATATATACAAGATAAGCCCAAGTAGGAAGAGGAATTCTTAGCACGATACCGACACTGATATATGCAGTAGTCCGTAGATTTAACGAAGGTGATGTTTTCAAATCCCATGAAAGGAAAATGACTAGCTCCTGGCAGGCAGTAAGAAGAGCTTGTCTGAGTTAAATGAAAGCTGGTTCTTTGTAGCACTTTTGGGATTTTGGATGAGAACTGGGATGGCATAAGGAATGGCATTTGGCTGTTAGTCCTATGGAGTTTTCTTAGACTGCTCTTTTCTTTTGTAGATTTCGATATTCTCCATAAACTTAGAAGGCTTTCTAGAAAGTTGGAAGACTGAGTCCCAACAAAGGAGTACCTACCCTCCGCCTTCCCTGGAGCAACTTCAAAAGGCTCAGTTCTACATACTTGCTTTGCCTTCAGTTAAACCTCGCTTAGCGGTTGTTCCGGGGTAATTTTTAAATAAACTTGCTTCTCTCCGAGGCCCTGAAACAGCAGTCTCTATCATTCTTACTTTGGCAGCCTCCCAGTATGCAGCAGTTGGACTCAATAAGTGTGTGTGTATATGTGTGTGTGTGTGTGTGTGTGTGTGTGTGTGTGTGTCCCCTACTTTTCATGAACCCATGGACTATGGTCCATGGTGTTTTCTTGGCAAAAGATATTGGAGTAGCTACATTTCCTTCTCCAATGGATTAAGGCAAACAGAGGTTTAGTGACTTGTGTAGGATCACACAGCTAGTAAATGTCTGAGGTCAAATTTGAACTCAGGTCTTCCTGTCTGCAGACCAGTGCTCTATCCATGCAACCACCTTATAGGCAAAGAGGTTAAACGACTTGCTCAGAGTCACACAGATAATAAGTATTCTGAGAATGGATTTGAAATGAGGGCCTCTTAACTCCAGTCCCAGTGATCTATTAGTGGATAGAGCCATCTAATTGCTTTATTTATATAATAAACATTAAAATTATTTCCATATCTTTTACATTTCAATTATTTGTTAGGGTTTTCTTGCACACAGAGTCATAGAAATCAGACTTCTCTTTGCATTCATTTTTACTCAGCATTCGTTTTTTAAAAAAAAATTTATTTAGTATTTCATTTTTCCCGATTACATGTAAAAACAATTTTAACTCATTCTTAAAACTTTGAGTTCCAAATTCTCTCTCTTCCTCTCTCCCCACCCCATACCCCTCTTTGAGAAGGCTAGCAATTTGATATATGTTATATGTGTGTAGTCATGCAAAACATTTCTGTATTAGTCATGTTGTGAAAGAAAACAGACCAAAAAAGCCTCAAGAAAAAATAAAGAAAGTAAAAAAAGTATGCTTCAATCTGTCTGCAGACACCATCAGTTATTTCTCTGGGGATGGATAGCATTTTTCATCATAATTCCTTCAGAGTTGTCTTGAATCCATGTATTGCTGAGAATAACTTAGTTGTTCACAGTTGGTCATCTTACAATATTGCCTTTGCTTTGTACACAGTACATTTCACTTTGCATCAGCCCATGCAAGTCTTTCCAGGTTTTCCTGAGAGTATCTTGCTCATAATTTCTTATAGCACAATAATATTCCATCACATTCACATAGCACAATTTGTTCAGCCATCCTTCAATTGATGGGCATCCCCCTTAATTTACAATTCTTTGCCACCAGAAAAGAGCTGCTATGAATATTTTTGTATATATAGGTCCTTTTCTATTTGTTTTTTTTAATCTCTCTTGAGATACAGACCTAATAATGGTATTGCTACGTAAAAGGGCATGCATGGTTTTATAGCCCTTTGGCCATAGTTCTAAAATGCTCTACAGAATGGTTGAATCAGTTCACAACTCCACCAACAATGCATTAATGTCTCATTTTTCCCACGTCTCCCCCAACATTTCTCATTTTCCTTTTCTGTCCTATTAGCCTATCTAATAGGTCTGAGTGATAGTACCTCAGAATTATTTTAATTTGCATTCTCCAATCAATAGTGAATTAGAGCATTTTTTCATATGGCTGTATGATAGTTTTGATGACTTCATCTGAAAATTGTTCATATCTTTTGATCATTTATCAATTGGGAATGGCTCTTTTATAAATTTGACTCAGTTCTCTATGTTTGAGAAATGAGGACTTTATCAGAGAAACTTGCTTCAAAATTCTTTTCACAGTTACTATTGCTAACTGTATTTCCCTCCATCCTATTCCCCTCCCCCCATTTACGCTATTCTCTCTTTTTACCCTGTCCCTCCTCAAAAGTATTTTGCTTCTGACTACCCCCTCACCCAATTTGCCCTCCCTTCTATCACCACCCCTTCTCTTATTCCCTTCCCTTACTACTTTCCTGAAGGGTAAGACAGATTTCTATACCCAATTAAGTATGTATGTTATTCTCTCTTTGGTCCAATTCTGATGAGAGTAAAGTCCCCCCCCCTCCCCCTCCACTACAAAAACATTTTCTTGCCTCTTTTGTGTGAGATAATTTACCCCATTCTACCTCTCCCTTTCCCTTTCTTCCAGCACATTCCTCTTTCACCCCTTAATTTTATTTTTTAAAGATGTCATCCCTTCTTAGTCAACTTATATCTGTGCCCTCTGTATATTTATACTCCTAACTACCCCACTAATGAGAAAGTTCTTATGAGTTACAAGTATCATCTTCCCATGTAGAATGTAAACACTTTAACATTCTTAAGTCCCTTATGATTTCCCTTTCCTGTTTACCTTTTTATGCTTGTCTTTAATCTTGTATCTGCAAGTCAAATTTTCTATTGAGCTCTGGTCTTTTCCTCTAGAATGCTTAAAGTCCTCTATTTCATTGAATATCCATTTTTTTCCCCTGAAGGATTATACTCAGTTTTGCTTGGCAGGTGATTCTTGGTTGTAATCCTGGCTCCTTTGCCCTCTGGAATATCATATTCCAAGCCCTCTGATGCTTTAATGTAGAAGCTGCTAAATCTTGTGTTATCCTGATGGTGGCTCCATGATAACTTGAATTGTTTATTTCTGGCTGCTTGTAATATTTTCTCCTTGACCTGGGTGCTATAGAATCTGGCTGTAATATTCATGGGAGTTTTCATTTTGGGATCTCTTTCAGGAAGAGATCCCTGGATTCTTTCAGTTTCTATTTTACCCTCTGGTTCTATAATATCAAGGCAGTTTTCTTGACAATTTCTTGAAAGATGATGTCTAGACTCTTTTTTTGATCATGGCTTTCAGGTAATCCAATACTTTTAAAATTATCTCACCTGGAGCTATTTTCCAGGTCAGTCATTTTCCCAAAGAGATATTTCACATTGTCTTCTTTTTTTCCCCATTCCTTTGGTTTTGTTTTATTGTTTCTTGATTTCTCATAAAGTCACTGGCTTCCATTTGCTCCATTCTAATTTTTAAGGAATTATTTTCTTCAGTAGTTTTTGGACATCCTTTTCTATTTGGCCCATTCTACTTTTAAGGAGGTTTTTTTTTTGTCTTCAGTGAATTTTTGTTCCTCTTTTTCCATTTGGCCAATTTGTACTTCTTTTACTATTTGGCCTATTCTATGTTTAAAGGTGTTATTTTCTTCAGTATTTTTGTGTCTCCTTTACCAAGCTGTTGACTCTTTTTTTTTTATGATTTTCTTGCATCACTCTCATTTCTCTTCCCAATTTTCCTCTAACTCTCTTATTTGATTTTCAAAATTCATTTTGATTTCTTTCATGGCATGCAACCAATTCATATTTTTCTTGGAGGCTTTGCATGTTGGAGCTTTGACTTTGTTATCTTCTTCTGAGTGTGTGTTTTGATCTTCCTCATCACCACAGTAACTTTCTAACATAGGAAATTTTTTTTTCCTGTTCTTTGCTCATTTTCCAGTCTATTTCTTAGCTTTTAACTCTTTGTTAAAGTGGGGCTTTGCTTGCAGGGTGGAGGGCACACTCTCCCAAACTTCCAAGGTTTTGGGCAGCTGTTTTCAGAGCTACTTCTAGGGACCTGTAACTTTTCAGTTCTTCCAAGGTGGTATGATCTAAGGAGAGACACATATACTACTTCCTGGCCTGTGCTCTGGTCTGTGAGTGACCACAAGCACTCTTTTCTCTTCTGGAACTGTGACATGGGTTCCTGCTTTACTGAAGCTACAAGTTCTGCTATGCTAATTCTCTGCCTTGCCCTGGGACTGCCACCCAGGCCTGCAACCCAGATCTGAATATGGGCAAAGGAATAGAGTTCTGCTCCCAGTGCCAACAAAGAGACTCCTATAATCTCCTTCTGATCAGTTGTTCAACTCCCTTACCATCTGTGGATTGAGAGCTCTGGAAGCAGCTGCTGCTGATGATGATTCAGTGACTCCCAAGGCCTACTCCTTGTTTGCTGGGCCTAGGTCTGTGCTGGTGAGATCTGCAGTGGACTGTGCTCGACTCTCACTCAGGTGTGACAGACCTTTCCTGCTGAGTTTCTAAGTTGTCTTTGCCTGGAAAATTATTTCACTCCCACCTTTTGTAGGTTCTGCCACTCCAGCAATTGTTTTATGTCATTATTTAAAGGTGTTCAGAGGGATTCTAGGGAGAGCTCAGGGGAGTCACTGTCTTTTCTCCTCCATATTGGCTCCACCACCCCTTCATTTAACTTTCAGAATTTATTAAATATCTACATTTTGTTAGTCCTGGAGAAGATACAAAGATAAAGTTTGGTCCTTAAGTTCACTTAAATAAACATTTATTAAGTGCCTACCCTGTTCAAGACAAAAACTACAGCCCTGCCTCAAGGAGTTTATCTTCTATTGGAAGAGTACATATCTTACTCAAGTAAGTAAATACAAAATAATTTCAAGAAGGAGATAATGACAATAGCTGAGGGAATCAAAAATGCTTTGTGTAGGCTATATCTGAACTGTGCTTTGAAAGCAGATGGTGAATTTAGGAGTGTGAAGTGAAGAGGGAATGCATGCTAGGTAAGGGGGACAGCTTGTATAAATCACTGAGGCAAGAAATGGAATGTTTTGTTTGATGCACAACCAGAAGGCCAGTTTGCCTGGAAAGGAGACTGCAAGAAGGGAAAGAGTATGAAGAGAGACAGGAAAAGTAATAAACATCCTGATTGTAGAAGGCTTTAAATGCTAAGTGGAAGATTTTGGACTCCTGGGGGCAAGAGAGGCAGCTTGGTGTTGGCCTTGGAGTCAGGAAGACTTGGGCTCAAGTCCTTCCTTCTGACTCATACTTGTCATACCCTGGACAAGTCACAGCTTCTCGATGCTCCGAAGAGGCAACAAAA